GACCAATTTGTTATCTAATCCAAATGTCGTTGCTTTTCTGTTTCGTTGATACAGTTTGGCACTTGAAAAATATTAGAGGCAGTCATACCGTTTTTAAATTCACAGCTGTAAGGGCTATTAAGTTTTTGGCAAGAAATTTTCATTCTTTTAAAATAAATTCTCTGTTGGTGATATATTCTTTGTTCAAAGGGTGCATGGGTTGTACCCTATAATCTTTAGAACTTCAAGTTTCTTGTTGCAATGTGCAACTGTATTAAGGTCATTTGAAACAACAATGACAAGCTTCGCAAGCTGGGAAATAAAATCTTGTTCTGTTGTTGCCTTTTATCATTTAAGGTTATTATGGCACCCAAAAATAAAGATAAGCTTTAAATTTTTCTAAATACTTACAGTGAAATATCTCAAAACCGGTCCACCTGAATACCTATTTTCCTCAATATCGGCCGATTCTAAAAGTCTCGGCTGAAATCTTAACATTCTTTTAACCACAAATTCTCACAATTCCGGCCACCCCTAAAACGGACACCGGCCACTTTTTTGGTAACAATCTGTAAGAAAAATAGGTTATTTCCCTTCATAATACCGGCCGCTTTTTCCCTTAATGATATACTTTAACTGTATACTTATATATCCGAATGATTTAGAGAACTTTGCTTTATTTCTCTTGTTTAAAAGTCAGCATGTTCAAAATATTTACGAAAATATACGTTTGACATTTACCTTTTTTCATACCCGTAGATGGGGGGAAAATTCATAATATGTGTATAAAAGATCCTGGCGCAGGTCATGAATCAGGATTTATTTAATATCTTTTGTGGACATCTGTAAAAGGAAATTCCCCTCTAACTGAATCGTGCTTGGGAAATATGTATGATGGCTTTGTTTTAAACAGATGACGATATCTAGCGGAAAATACGCTCAGATATGTCGGTTAGTTGAACATCCTTACTAATGTTATTGTGATTTAAATTCAAGACACGTGGTTTAATTTTACCTATTCAAAGGTTATATGGTAGAACCGGTTTTGTAAATAAAATTGGCAGTAAACAGGTAATTACTATAGTCTGTTTCTTTTGAAAACATGCCCTGTGAAAAATGTGTTTCCAGACCTTTTATTAACATTTTCAACAGAAATGGGTAGCTAAAGGGGGATGGGTAAATAACAATTTATATATCTAATCATAGTTTACTGCAAATATTACAGCTCACTAGCGACCGATACGCTGGTAAAAAAATGTGTAATATCATCTACATTGACAAACCCTTGTTTGCCTTATATGGCAATTGTTATTAATGCGCACGGAGGATCTAACCACGAGCAATTGACCAATATTGTTGATTGAATACGATTACGCCAAATACATGTTAACATGTTTTTCGAATACGTGGTTCAGGTCAATCTATGATTATTTCAATGGAGTGCAATATTGAAAAAAAAAATGTTCTCATGAACAAAATGCAAACATTAGAAACTATGAAAGATATTATGATCACGGCCGTTTTTTAATTTGTTGCTTGCTAGAAAAAATATGTTTAATAAAATGTATAATTAGTTAGTGTCAAGTTTCAGAACACCCAGCACTTCAAGGGTAAGGAAAACGAGCATCTTCTCGTATGCATTTTAAAGACAAAACAGCTATACTCGTGATCACGTGTGTAGGCCAGGGAATCCACCTGACAATTGTATTCACCTATAGTACAATAAAAGAATTTATCAATCGTAAACTTCCTGTAGTATTCGTAGTAACCCATAATGCAATTCTCATTCAGCTGATTTGTCAGTAAAGTCACATTGGTGCCTCATTCGCTTATATGACGCAAAAATATAGTCCGGGTTCCCATGCAAAATATAATAGAGAATACATATGATTTAAATTTGAATGAATAAAAGAGAGGTCGAATGAAGTTTATTTCTACAGAATATTATTTTAGGGTGGTGAAAACTAAAACGCCACATAACTTTTCTGTTTACCATGTCTCCACGTGCTAGTCACTTCCTTGCCACATTTCCGTGAATAATTTAGCCTAACTCGCTGCAGTCTGGCTAACTCTCGCAAGAGCCACTGCCAGATCTACTCTGAACTAATCGGGTTTTATAATTTGCAGAACACCGAAAAATAAAAGGTTCCGAACACATTAGTAGGGGTGTTGAAGTTAGTTTGAAATATTTTGTAACAGAGTAATGGTATAACTTTTTCCAAGCTCTTTTCGGTTTCACAAGGATGCATCGAGTTTATTTATGTTACAAAAAGTTAATAATAACAGTATTTTTTATCTGCGTCGAAGCGATTCATGTGAAACACTCCAAGAGGAACAAATAAACAGCACGTGATCAACGAGGTCATGTGAAATCGTAACAAATATGTTTATGTATATATAGCCAAGAGAACTCTCTATATGAATTGGGCGTACCTAAGTACATAACTTAGAAATAAAACTCAAAATCAACTTTCCAATGCAACGTTACGTTTTAAATGCATTTAAAGCTCCGGGAAGCCTTAAAACTCTGATATTTTGCTTTCGTTTTGATATGATGATGTTTGTTTGTTGTGTTTACGACATAAGCTGAAATTATACATAAATACAGCAAGTCCTCCATTTTTTTTATCAAACATGTCTCAGCAAGCAAAGCGTCTATACGTCTTGAGTTATCAGTAAGTGATAAAGTCAAGCTCATCAAGGACCATGAATCTCAGCCTCAGATTTCTCAACGGGTACTCGGTGAGAAAATTAAAGTACGTAAGTCAACTGTGGGTGACATCTTACTGAAGTAAGAGATCTACCTTGAGCAATTTTGAAAAGAACGCAAGTCCCACGAAATCCAGATTCAACACAACGAGTTTCCTGATATTAATGATGTTGTGTTCAACTGGTTTTCTACAGCCCGTGCTAAAGGCATTTCGATTTCCGGACCCATTATCCAAGAAAAGGCTCTTCATTATTAGGCGGAATTACAAATTTCGGGATTCAAGCCTTCCAATGGTTGCCTGGACAGATGGTAGAACAGATATTCTGTAACAGCTTTCAAAATCGGTGTTGAAAAAGCAAGTGTTGACCCATTGACAGTCGAAGATTACAAATAAAGACTTCCTGATATCATAGTTGATTACGACCCAAAAGACATATTCAACTGTGATAAGACCGGCTTTTTCTATCCTGCTCTACCTGACAAGACTCTAAACAATAACGACATAATGTGTTAAGGCGATAAGAGTGCTAAAGAACGGCTCACAGTGATGTTTGCGTGTAGTGCTATACCGGTGAAAAACTAAAAAAGCTCGTAGTTATCGGGATATAAAACCAGTCAAAATGCTTCAAGAACATCAAGAAGACTACTTTGCCAGTTGACTACACGGCTAACAAGAAGGCTTGGATAACTTCATAAATCTTTAACAACTGGATCTTGGCCATCAACAGCAGCAAGAAACAACAGAGAGGACACATTCTGATGTCTCTGGACAATACATCCTCCTCTTTTGCATGAACTGAGATTCAGCAATGTGAAATTGAAGGTCCTCCCCGCAAACACCACTCCTGTGCGGCAGCCCTTGGATCAAGATGTGATTCTTGCCTTCAAAGCTCGATACAGAAAGCTAATGATCAAGTCACTCATCGCAAAAATTGTCCAGACACAATCAGCAACAGAACTCTGCAAAGAAATTTCTATTCTCGATGCCATCTACTGGATATCATGAGCCTGGAAAGACACTAAAGACTTTACCATCCAAAAGTCCTTTATACTTGCAGAATTTCCTAGCCCAGACCAAAAAGACCAAGAGGAACCATCATACATCAGTAAAGAAAAGGATGATGACATCCAGCTGATTCAACTCACAAAACAACTTTGACGGTGGTGTTCCTACAAAATATGATTCTGATGACTTGGAGAAGGATCATCTCGGCCTTTACTAACGCCAAGAAATCCTCGATAGTGAGGATGAAGAAGAATCAGTCAGCGAGACCAGCATGGAGCCTACAACGAGTTAATAAGAAACACTACCGGAATTAAGAATGATCCACAGCCAGACAACAGAGGAATCCATTAAGCCCATGGCTGGAGTAATCATTCTACATGTGCAACTTGACGATTTGCTTTTGATCACATGATGATGCGATCTAAGACTGCACAAACAACGATGGACAACTTTTTTAAATAACCTGTGTTTGAAATAAGTCATGTGAATGAATTTAGTGAAAAATAAAGAAAAGTTCATAATTTAAAATCTATAGTGTTACATGTAGAGCATTAATTGCCATCATTCAATATTCACATTTTAAAATGCAGTGCATGTTCTTTTTAGCTTACCATTTCTTTATAATTCTACATGTAATCAGTTATAAGATTTTATGCATGTTGAATTATTACATTGTATTAGTGCTGACAAATAAAAAAGATTTAAAAACAAAACTTATTTCTTTATACATGTTTATAAATTTTAGAAGTTTTTTATATTTATTTATTGAAATAATAAGAAATTGCTAAACCTTATATTAATAAGAGTTGATCAAGAAGGGAACACGTGTTATATTGTTCAATAATTTTTAAAACCTATAACACATGCTGAATTCTCTCTAAACCGGCCACCCCTCTAACAGGTAATTTCATTCAGTCCGGCATCCGGCTAGTTTTACCATGTTAGCTACATGTACAGTATGTATTTTATAAACCAAACCTAACATCCTTATTTAGCTTTCATTAAGAACGGTTTTACGTAACCCCAATAGTATTTAAAAACAAGTCCCTTGATATTCCACTCCTGTATATTATTCTCTGTCATCTTTACATTGTATGAAAAGAATAGAGATTTAAATGTTTTGTGTGAAGCAGCATTATATATAAGCGGCATTTAACCCAAAAATATACATTAAACAATACAAATGGCTGACACTTGTAATGGCTGGTAAAACATTGTTAAAAGGATATATTTACAGATCGAAGAGAAGGTTATATTTCTAGTAAGTAACTACCAGATACTGCCCAACATTTTATTGAGTGTGACATGGAATCCTGCAGGAACTTCTCCGAGTTTTACTGCAATACCTGTCACCTGCGAATCTGTGACCAATGCAATCAGCACCATCTAGAGCAGAACAATGGACATGAGATTGTCCTTTATCACGAGAGAAGGAGGAAAATTCCCGCAGAGAAATGCAGGATCCACCCTACCAAAGATATTAATGTTTACTGTGATGAATGTCAGGATTCTGTCTGTTCTATATGCTTTGCTTGGGGTCACAGAGATCATAATAAAGTTGACCTTGAAGCCATATACAATATCATTTTAACGCAATGTCAGAGTGAAATAAGTAAAATCTGGAAAACAGTCATTCCTGAAGCTAAAAATAATGTTCAATCTATTGGGGAAAAGAGAGAAAATGTCAAGAAAGAAATTGCCAAGTTTAGAGTTTCCATGAAGGAGAGAGCAGATGAACTAAAGGAAGCCGTTGAAAGTATCCTGACTGATAATTTGAAAAAACTGGATGAAATTGAGAATTATGTCCTTAATGAAATAGCAGAACAACAGAAGGAAACAGAGGACTACATAAAGTACCTGGAGAAAATAATATCAGAGTACGAGAGTAAAATATCATCAATAAAGCATACTAAACTCATGAAATTCCAATTAGAAATTTTATTAGCTTCTCTGAAGATGCACAAGAAACCTAAACTGCCAATTTTTACTTTAGCTACACTAAACAAGGAAGAGATATCCAAACAGTTTGGTGAAATTAAACTAGATTCACCAAAAAGGCTTAAGATTTCTTGTGTCATAAAAGTAAGTGAAATAGCTATCCAGGAACATGGAACTTCCCATTTGTCTCCCTTGGCCCCCAATAAATTTTGGGCTAGTGAAAGATGGGAGAATCTCATTCAGTATGATATGGAAGGAAACATCTTACATAAAATATCCACCAGTATGAATTATATCCCAGGTAACCACACAGTCACTAAAGAGGGAGAACTACTTTATACAGTTTACAACAAAAACACTGTATACAGAGTAACTAGTGACAACACTATCAGCAAACTTATTAAGACTGGGAGCTGGACACCTGGAGCCATCTACTCTTCCCCTATCAATGGGCACATATTGGTCGGCATGAAGAGAAATTCAGACCAAAAAATAACCAGATACAACAGAGAAGGAAGGAAGTTACAGGACATACAGAGGGATGATATAGATAAATCATCCTATCAAAGTATACGCTACCTCACAGAAAATATCAATGGTAACATTTGTGTATCAGACAGTTATGCTGGTGAGGTTGTGGTGGTTACAGCATCAGGGCAGTACCACTTCTCTTACTCTGGTCACCAATCTCAGTCTGAATTTTTTCCCTGTGGCATCTGTACAGATGTACTGGGGCATATCGTGGTGTGTAATGGCTCTACGACGAATTACTCAAGTGTTCATCTGCTGGACATTAATGGCCAGTTCCTGTCTCTCCTACTCACACCAGAACAATGTCCTCCACATCCCCGTGCTCTCTGTATTGATGATAAACACAACCTCTGGATCGGGGGATCAAACGAGTTCACTGTCTTTGTGTACAAATATTTGCAGAACACAAAACCATGATTTTTTTTATTCACCGTATATTATAAATGCTTTATCGATTTGTGTTACGTACAACAAAGTGCTTTAAAATAGGTTTAAAATATTCACTGTAAAATGACATTCGTTGGTTGCATGATTAAAGCCAATGAAGCCCAGGGAACGTTTTAATAGATTTCATAACTGAACTGACCAGTTCATACAAACCAGTTAGTACAAAAATGAACATATTGATTTCTCTCTTTAATAAGTTCATCTAGATGCAGTTGTCCTAGACAAGTCCTGAAATATATTTGCTTATGTTAATATGTGAGTTGAAATGAATGCATATTTTTGCAAAAATGATTTCTACTATAAGCATGACATGCACCTCTGTTTTTCAAGTATTGCGATTATTCTTGTTACAGTTAAAAATCTTTAAGGCGCTATTCTTTTTTCCACATTTAGTATATATGCTTTCTATCTTTGAATGCACTTCTTTCAAAATACAGAGTTTCTATCCTTTATTTTTAAAAAGGTGGGGTCTCCATATGAGTGAAAGAATTCTCGAGAGGGACGTTAAACAATATACAATCAATCAATCATCTTTAAGAGTCCACAGAAAGTGCTTAATATGTCCTATTTGCAATAAGACCAAGAAAGATGAGGTTTCTGATTAGTATATATTTGTGATTTTTTGTCAGGATAACCACAAAAAGGTGTTGACATGGATTACAGTGTTGGTTTTTTTCGAATACGCGTAATTTATATGTCCAATACACAGTCAGGTAAATATCTATTTTGTTCACTACTTTTTTATATTTTTTTCTGATTCTTCTGTTTTGCTTAGAATACCAATTGTCAATTCAAAGTTGCTTAGCATGTCAAATACTGTTTTTACAGTTACAGTAACATAATGAATAAAATTGAATCATAGTGCATGTATTGTTTAAAATAGAGTCAGGAGTCTCTGTCGAATATGTAGCTCTACTGGTTTGTCTACCAAGTTATATTAAATTTATACCAAAACTTTAGGAGGTTTAGAATTTTGAATGTATTTCAAAGAACTTTTTATTTTTAATCATCGTTAATGGAATTAAAACACATTTCTTCAAAATTATGTATCTTTGTTTTGTCTACTTGTGTGCCACGTTATATTGTAACTAGAACAAAACTTTAGGAGGAATAGCGTTTTGATTGATTGATTGTATACTGTTTAACGTCCCTCTCTAGAATATTTCACTGATATGGAGACGTCGAATAGCGTTTTGAAAGTATTTTTGAAAGTATTTTTTAAAATAAAAAGAAATCTCTAATTTCAGTAACCCCGACAACATCCTTCATTGAATTAAAAAAACCCGATCTTTAGAACTATGTATCTTAGTTTAGTCTACTTGTATGCACTTCTGATGTTTCATGGGTCCTTGTTTGCTCTGCTCTTATTTTGTATTGTTTTATGGACATTGAGATTTGATACTGTTCGTTATCTCCACATCCTTTATAGTTATATTTTAAAATATTAGACTCCAACTGTAGGAAGGATTGCGATTTGAAAAAAATCAAAGAAATGTATATTTTTAGTAACCATGGAAACACCGTTTATCAAGATCAGAAACCGTTTTATGGATCTATTGATGTTAGTATTTTTTACTTGTTTGTCAAGTTATATTGAAATCTGTAGAAAAGTATCAATTTTAAATTTGTTCACAGGCGGACAAACAGACAGCTAGATGGACGACGAACAATTAACTACAGCATAAGCTCTTCAAGTTTTCGACTAGTAGAGCTAAAATTGCAATTAAATATTAATTAAAAAAATTAATTTTTCAATTTCTAAAACTATGGTCACCGTGGATGAATAGTTTAGACTTATAAACATTTTTTAAAACACAAACAAATATACAAATTTAATTCATACGCGGGTTGATCCAAAAGTAATGTCACAGTGCCCATATCTTTTATATTTGGCGTCATATTATTAAATATAATATACCAAAATATGTACAATGATAAATCAAATTAAACTTGGATTTTTCATTCGATAATGATAAATTGAGTTTATTTTATAGATGTTTAGAACATAAATCACATGTGAGGTTGCAGCATAACAACCGAACGTCATAAATTAATGTGTACCTTTTTTTTTTTATTAAAAAAGACAAACGCATTAAAAAAAAACATCTATCAAAAGCGCATAATCACAAAAAATTTCAAAAGACAAACATTTACATAATTTTCTAGTTTTAAGTTGAAAAGTATATGACGTAACTGCAGTTTTTTTTACTTCAAAAACATCGTTGTTTTACTCGGTGCATAGCATTGACAGAAAGGAAATGTCGGAATGGACAAAGAAAGCCAGAAAAAAACTGTAATGCATTTAAACATCAAAATGGAGAAATTGCCAGAAGAGACAGTAACGTTTATTCACTAGTTTCACAGAGGAAAAAATGTTAATAAGAGACTTGTTTATATAGTTTCAGCGATTTTTGGGTGGGTGATGGGTCATTAAATGCTCAGCAGATGACAAGAAGACCAAAAGATAGGAGGTCGGACGGAAACCTTCAATGATGTGTGGCGTTGTCAAAAAAGACAGACGGTTAGAGCGATATGTGAAATTTTAAGATGGTCTTATACTACTTTTCAAGAATTTTGACAGAAGAATTAATTATGGAAAAAGTGAGTGTACGATGGGTACTAAGTTTTCTTTAAGAAGGTGATATTTGTGAACGTGTTCGTGGATTTCTCATATTTTTAATGAAACGAAGGGAAGCGTTTAAATGTACGACGTTGTATATCCGTCATATGACGTTATTTAGGTGCGGCAACTACCATAATCGCAATTTGTATATAATCCGATATTTTGAAAAGTATAAATTATGCTGAATTGAAATTTTCAGGTCTAATTTGAAATAAAATTAGCTTTCATTATTAATAATTTTGTTGTTATAAATTGACGGGTAGCGATTTTATCGAAATTGTGACATTACTTTTGGATCAACCCTTGTACATTTGATTAATAAGACGTCCCGGTTTCAGTTTTCGGAGCAGGTCCATTCCCAAGTAACTAAAAGCCTTACTTAAACTAAACTTGCATGGATGATGTACATGTCTACCTAGGGATGGGCACTACCAGAATTGCTTTGAATGCTAGATCTGACCTACATTTACCAGATGATTGGCCAGGTTCAAGATTTTGGAGCTGGTCCATTCGCAAGTAACTGTAAGCTGCACTTGGATTACACTTGCATAGATAATGCATCTAGTGATGGACACTACAAGACTTGCTTCGGATGCTGGATCTGACCTATATTTTCAAGATGAGTGACCAGATTCAAGTTTTTGTAGCATGCCATTCCCAAGTATTTGTAATACCTACCCTGACCAAACTTGCATGGCTGATACATCTAGGATCGGACACAACCAGACTTGATTCGGATGCAGGATCTGACCTATATTTTCCAGATGAGTGACCAGGCTTATGTTTTTGGAGCATGTCCAAACCTGAATGGCTGATGCATCTAGGAATGGACACTACTAGACTAGCTCCAGCAGATGGATCTGACCTGCATTTTTTTCCATATAAGTGACTAGGTTATTCTCAAAGTTCTAGGTTTTACTCTGAAGTTGACATCAAATAGATGCTTGAGTTTCTAATTGACAATATACATGTGGTTTTTTAACCAAGTATTTCAACAATCTATTGGAATTCTCCCAGAGCCATATAGGGGTCAATGTAGGGGTCTAAATCAGTCTCGTGCATTTTGCGTATAACAGGGCAATCAATAAAAAACAACAAAACACATTTATTCATTTTTCGATACATATATTCTGGTATAATAGTACATCAATGTTTTGCTAGACCAAAAGTTGGCTGTACAATTACGTTGTTTTACGGAAACCCTCAGGGTAATGTAACTTGTCATAGTAAAGCAAATATAGTCCTCCACTTTTCTTTCACATCCACTGAGCTGTACCGATCCGGTGGGTATGCTGGAGTTCTGGCAACGAAAAAGTGTGGGCTACACAAATCATCCTTCTTCCCAGATGGTCCATCCTGTAGACCGACCGAGGTGATGAAATCAGTCAATCCAAGTTGGTCCAGATTGAGAAGCATGAACCATATATGCTCTAATATTAGCAGATGGCATCAGTTTCCTCTGTTCCTTACGTCTGAAGCTTTTGCTGAAGTGGATTCTATCCTTGCATGACTTGATACATTTGCGCTTCAACATCTCAATACCATTTTCAGTTTTGCCTTCAATTCCACCAGGGACATTGGCAAACTTGTCCCACCTGTATAAAATAACTGGATCAGTAAAGGTGATTTTATCCTCCTGTACTTCTTTAGTAGCATTGTTGGTAGTAGTGACCGTTATATTGACAGAAAGATTGTCAACTTTCATGGTGATGCGATCAACAGTAACATACTGATAATCAGCCAGCTCTTGGTAAGTGTAGAAGTTCTCAGTACAATCACCCAGAACCATCCATGAATTAAAGTTTGCATTAAATTCCAAATATTTGGAAGCATGGCTATCCTTATCATAAGATATGGTCTTCGCAGCAGTAAATACATGCTTAATCTTCATCCGACTGGAAATTTAACCAGAGAGTCGTCCACGAGAAAATAAATTTCTCTTTCTCAATCCACGTCCATATCTTCTTCGCCTGTCAATTTTCCTTCTCTTGAAATGAGCTCGTCTTCGCATGGAGCCTCCGATGAAAGCGCGAGTAGGCCCCTATCTTCAACTAGCCTAGCCTGCAGCTATCGAAGCTGAGAGAGAGAGAGACACTATTGTGATCACCTCGGCGTTTTGCAGTCGCCCGAGGACACAGCCCCGGTGTGACAGTCGTCCAAGTGCACACTTTATCACTGAGAATATACACGGTGACATTTGTACATCTGACTACGTGGACAGTGAGGTTGTGGTGGTGACCAGAACATGAGAGTATCGCTTCTCTATCTCTGGTCACCCGCGTCAGATTGGATACCGTCCCTGCTGATGTCCTTGGACATCTTTTGGTGTGTAGCGGCTGTGAAGATT